ACTGACAGCTCCCACAAATCATTCAGGGCTCGAGGTCCCCACGTCGAGGCGTCATTTGCGTCCGACACGTCGTTCTGCCGTCCTCCGAATAGAATCAAGCGGTCATTCACCACTGCCATCGAGTGTTTCTCTCTTGGAGAAGGTACCAACGCTGGCGGAGGCACAGACCACCACGTCTCCGTGCGCAGATCATATCGCCAGAAATCGTTGGACACTGATCGTGGACTCGGTTGAAATAAACACGGCACTTTGTGTGCTCGGCTGCACTCGTAGCTCTTCGCCATTCCTCCAAAGAGGTACAGAGAATTGTCCAGCAATATGAGGGAATGTCCTCGTCTAGCAGACGGAAATCGCTGCAAGGGAGGAGTGTTGGTGACGCGCATTCCTGCTCTCGTGTTCTCCTCGTCTACAGTTCGAGTGACGCAACGTCTCCACGTATTCCTCGGCTTCGTAGGCATACGCAGCGTAACGACATCACTGAAAGTGCCACGTCCATCGAGCAGCAAAGCTTTCACTCGGAAACGATACGCAGCCGTCGGCGTAAGACCGTGGAGGGTGAGAGTACCGCTCTTCTCCGTGACGTCAGTGGCCGGAAGAGTGACCAAACGTACAAGACGAAAGTCCTCATTGACGGAGCGATTGGCCATCTCGATCACGAATCCTTCCACGAGCTGGGAGAAGCCAAAACGAGGAGCTTTCCAGCTCACTTTGACGCTCGAGGATGTCAGTGGAGTCACTTGGAGCTTGTCTACGGTCTCGTCACTCACTCGTGCTCGCAGACTAGCGTCACTAATCCCAGATTTGGACGAATTAAACAGGTCTCTAAAGGAGACGAAGCTGCTGCCTCCACCGCCTCCAGCTCCGTCAACACCTGCGCCTCCTCCTCCGCCACCGAAGAACCCTCCACCTCCGCCTCCACCCGCTTGTTTGCCACTCTGTCCACTCCCGCCACTTCCATTTCGACCATTCGAAGGCCAATGCGATGCTGTCAACGGAGACACGGCGACGTCCACCAGAGATGTCTGCGGGTTCAACAGACACGTGCCTTCAAGAGAATAGCGATAGGAACCTGCAGTCCCCGCCACACCTGCCGTTGTTGGCGTGGCGCCTGTGCCTCCAGTTGCTAGAACGGAGTAGTCTGCACTACTCGCAGCAAAGCCCCAGTCGAGGTGTCCATGTCTCGCTGGGAGTCCCTAGAAGTCTCTCGTGTCTCCCGGTACATTCGAGGAATGATATTCGTCTCTAGCTGCTTGTCCAGTCACACGTGAGTCGAGTGGGGAA